TACTCGAATGACCGTTAGAAATCTTGCGAAATGTCATAAAAGCAGAAGTACCCGAAACTCGGCCTTTGTCTGGCCGAGACATTGACAAAGTTGTTGCAGCACGTGAGAGAGGTGGGGAGTAAGGATAGAAGGATAGAAGGATAGAAGCATAAATATATAGAAGACAATTGTTAAGAAATGCGTCGCATCATGCAAACGGTCAACAAAACACGCAACATTGTAGAGGTTCCATCTGGGTATGGGTTGGGTTTGATATGACGGAGTTCGAAACATGTATGGGGTAGAAACGGCAGTTTTAGAGGTTTTCTTACACATTAGCTGACAGTAAAGCGAAAGTTTTTCAACAAAAGATGAGTTTAAGTAAGATTTAGTAAAAATAAAAATATAAACTGCAATCAGAGTTGTTTCATTTCGGGAAAAACTATAAAAACTGAAGTTCTGTATTTAATTTGTTTCTGGCTCTCGTCGTCATTTGTCCATATATTATGCAAAACGAAAGCATTAGCTGCAATCGACACGGCAGAAATCAATAAAAATTACGGCATAAAAGTGCAATTAATGTGCCATGACCTGATCCTGGCAATGGCCAGGACGAACGCGAGCTGACAATTGCCAATGGCTGCCAGGAGGATTAAATGGACAAACCCCTCACAGTCTGATATGCATGACCAACCGTTGCCATATGCAGTACACACATATATATATATATAAGCATATATAGAGAGATAGAAACCGAGAGCAACCCTTGCGCGTATGCATAATATGCCACCCCTTTTTGGCATACACCCACCCCGTTTATCGAAAAGCTGAGCTGCAGCCCTCGCACGTTGGGGTTAAGCCCAAAATGGCGCGTGTTTGCCAGCAGAGAAATTAAACGCACATATGCGAGCAGCAGGATCCTGTAGGCCAGGACGTGGCATATCAATTTACACAACATATGCAGATCCGATTAGAGAAGCGAGCAGTAAAAATAACAATCAATAAAGAACTGTTATGCGCCGGTTAGTCGCAGACTAAATACCCTGCGGGAATAATCGATATGTTTAATGATCGACCAAGCACTAAAAATCAACTTCTATTCGATTATTTATATGGAAACTACATGATATAGTAGTCCGATGTTGAAGAACTTTTGCGAATGCCTTGGTATAAAAGTAAGCCTTGCAATTATTGAGTTTGCTTCAGGTAGCCATTGTTGACAAGGGAGCCCAAGTTCGATCGACTCTGAAATTATTTAGAGACTTGGCATTAGTCATTTACAGATCAAGAAGTTATATACCCTCCACATTAAAATACCCTCTGCAAGGCTATAAAAAACAACGAAATTTGAGGGCGATTCGGGCCACCAAAAGAATGGCTGCAACGCGTGCCGCGGCCTTCTGCTTGCTGCTTGCCTCCATGCAACACGTCGCGTGCCTGGCAGACAGCATCCTTAACCTCAGCCTGCTACTGCTCCTTTGCATGGACACAGATAAAAAATTACAAAAACCAAAAACAAAAAATTGGGAAAAAAAATTAAATGCAACATTCAAAATTTCAACAGCAAAAAAATTGTAAAAAAAACCTTGTGAAAATTGTCCAAAATGCAGGCAAAAATTCGGTGTGTGCGTGTGTGTCTGTGTGTGTGTGTGTGATTGTGTGTGGCTGCATCCCTTGTCAACAATGGCACGAAAATCCCGTTGCTGACCTCTCGATGACCCCAAGCCCGAGCTGCCGCTGCCCCTGTTTCTGTTTCTGTTGATGATTTTCTATCCCTTGGACTTTATTCAGGCCGCAAACAAAAGCCGGCGTTTTTGTGACTGATTGCATGCATGCAACGGCAGCATATCCTTGCATATCCTTTTTGTCTATGCACGTATGTGTGTGTGTGTGTGTGTGTGTGAGTGTATGCTGCGCCTGGCGCTTTGGCCAAACAATGTTTCCGTCTAGCATTTGCTTTTGTGCAGCGTTTTAGCGCGCCATTTGCATGTTTTTCCACTTCCATTTTCTCTACATACATTTCCCATTTTCACATTTCCATGCCAAAAATTTGTACAAAATGCAAAATAAAGGGGGCGCCCCGATCCTTGCCTCACCTCGGCTCAGCTCGCCTGTCTGTTATTTATGGCAATGTGGCAAGCTGCCAAGCGGCAACCGAAAGGCACACGAGGGGGTTGCACAAACGGCGTTATGCAAAAAAGGGGACAAAGACGGGACACAATGCGCTGGTCATCAGTTGCAAAATTATGAAAATGCATATGAGAAATACTTGCAAAAATGTTTGAAAAAAAAATTAGGGTAAAAACGGACTGAGCAATACTCTATAAAGTCAGTTACAGCTGGGAACTGCACGAAAAGAGAAAGAGAAAAAGCGATATAGAAGAGTTCATGTTCCAAGTCTCGAGTCCTTAGCTTCAAAATGCATTGATACAGAGTTATTAACGGACGTTGCACAAAACGAATATACTCTTTTTCACTCTCTCACGAACAGCGTATAAAATGCACAAAATGGCCTCAGAATGCTTAACAACAGACTCTGTTTTTATGTGGGTTGTCAAAGGAACTGAGTAAATAATAAATTCCGATTGCATTTTACAGCAAAAGGAAAGCCAAGACTTTATTTTCTGGAGAATACTCCATTTTAGCATATTGCCTAAGTCTAAATTACTCAAAAAAGAAACTACCTTCTGATTAACTACATAAAAAAAATATAGAACAAGAGACAGAGGAGGCATGTTATCAGATTATCACATTTCCTTTATTCCACAAGTTAGGAAACGCTCTCTCTTTAATCGCTTCGCAATTGCTGAAAGATCTTAAGTTCTTTTTTTAATTTAAATAAAAACCATATCCCGATCAGATAACACTCTTGTTCAGTTCCAGGAACCTTCCGCATTCCCTGTCAATGTAAATTGCATTTCTCACACAGTTCTGCCCCACTTAAGAGCTTGACCCCAAGGTCCTGGACCGAACATATGCAAAATTATTGCCGGGCAAACATCAAAATATTATGCCTACCTATGCAAAACAATAAAAAGCAACCAATTTTTTCGCACATCTCAAGCACTTGACCTTGTCGACGACCCAGGACATTTAAAAAACATTTCCTTAAAATTGCACCAAATAAAAAGTCTCTCATTTAAAGTAGTGCGGAAAAAGTAGATGACTCCCCGGGCGGCAGGCCGAGGGACACGTTCACACGCCGCAGGACATCGGACATTGGGTAGCACATCATATACAAAGCAATGGACCATGCCGCATTCTTTGGTGGTCACGGGTTCAAATCTCCGCAGCATTGCGAAATTCTCTTAGCTGCATTCCCTGCCTTGGCCCTTATCCTTGCTGACATGCGAACAATGGGCAAATATTTTGCATAAGGCCGCCGTTACGCATTATGCAAAGGAGAAAGAGGAAGAATTCCCGAATGCCCATGGTAGTTGCCGCTACCTAGCTGGCCCTAAGTAGATCTCTGTAGACGTCGTCCATTTCTCATGACGCTGCATTTTCCACGCCTGCTCCGTTTAATTAGAACAAACAAAGTCTGTCCCAAGACGCAGTCTCTGCATTTATTTTCTTTTCTTTTTTTTCTCTCTTAATTTTGCAAGTAACCTCTCTCTCTGAGATCCTGCACCGGTAAACTGTTTACTTAACCCAAGAGCCCGGAGGGTCCTGTCTGTGTGGGTGGCTTAAAAAAACACTCAGACTAGCCAGCAACAGCAATTATGTGAGCTCGGCCCCGTTAATTTGGCCGGCTTTAATCCTTTTTGGAAAAGTCATTCGTGCGTTCCAAATTTCACCAGCTCATGCCTTGTAATTGTCCGATTGCCATAGGGGATTGGCCAGGGACTGGTCGAGAGTAAAATGGGTACGCCTAAAGGATTCAATTTCGGCAAGTAATGCACTTGATTTGTGTGTTCAGAATTAAGACCAGGTGATCTACACTGGGGATTAGGCAGCTATTTCTAACGCTCTATTGGTCTCAAGTGAGTTATCAGGGCCAGGTATCGATGCTAGCGGTAAATGCACATACTGCATATAGGCAACAACATCACTGAAAGCTTGCTTAAACGAGTTCACTTTTTAGGTGAGATGTCAAAAATAAGGCTAAAGTAGTAGAGGACATTTTTAGCTGCCCGTTCATTGATAATTCTATTTTAGTGGGTTTATTCGAACATAACCTCATTCTAAATATAAACAGTTTCTACTTACTTTGTGGCTGGTTCTGCTTGAAAATGCGCCAAAATGCCAATTGGGAATTTATTTGTGAACCGGCGCGCACGCGAGAGTGGGACGGCAAAAGAGAATATCAATTTGACAATTCGTGCATCTCTGCTCTGCCAGCGTTGCATTTGACGCATTGAAGCTCGCGGAACATACACAAGTACATGTATTCATGCACATAGATGGCAAAATTTTCCCATCAGCATACAAGGAATTTCCCACACCATGTGGGAATTTCCCAACATATGTATTAATAAATATGCATGCACACATGTGTATGTACATGTGCTCATTTGCCTTGCATTTTAAACTTAAAAAAAGGCAATTAATATTAGCCACTATCACAAATCAACAAGTCACTGAATTATCTTACACTGAACTGCACACATTTAATTCGCTTATTTCGTATTTTTCAATTGGCAAAAAAATGCTCCTACTGCAGCGTCTAGAAAATTCCCTCAGGAAATACGCATAACAGGTGGAAGCGATTTTAATTTGCCAAAAAAACACGATAAACATGTACACATTTTAGCCAGCTTTCATGAATTGTGCCCTCTTTATCACTTCAACAATATACATATTTGTAATATTTTCACATGCACTGCACTCATATAATACGCGCATTTCGTAATTACCAATTAGACAAAAATAATCGTCTCGATTGCCGCGTCAACGAAACTTCACTCAGGGCTGCAGCGCGCGAATGAACGCTGTTCATTTTATCAATCAATTTAAGATCATTTACAACACTAAATTGCAAAAATGTACTTTGCTTACATTGCATTGTCGGTTTTCGTTTTAGCTTTTGCCATTTTCAAGCTATATCAAATATTATTAATATGAGTCAAGCTGATACACACGGCTCCAATGGATCCCTGGATGAATCAGACATAACGGCGGCATTTGATTTAAACATTCTAGGCATGTTGGCCATTGAACAACGCTGCTCGACGACACGCAAGCAGCAGGAACAATTGCAAGGCGAACAGGAGACGGGTGCGGTAAATTTGGAGCCGCCAGTGGCAGGCGAGGAAGCCAGACCTGATACCGTCGCTGTCACGGAACCCCCGCCACCGCCATCGTCAGCGCCACCGCCAAGGACACCGTCGCCGCCACAGTTACCGCCAGCTGCCCGAACAAAACGCCGTAAACAGCCGAATCCTTTGCAGCGTGCCGCCCAGTTCAGGCGCGAGGTGCGGACGCTGCAGCGTTCGCCGCATTTTATGATACCGCGTTTGTCCTTTGGGCGCGTGGTCCGTGACATTATGCTGCAGCACACTGAATCGCCCTATCGCATCACCATTGGCGCTCTGGAGGCCCTGCAGACGGCCACGGAGATGTTTCTTACGCAACGCTTTCAGGACTCTTACCTGATGACCCTGCATCGCAGTCGGGTGACTCTGGAGGTGCGCGACATGGCCCTAATGGCATTCGTATGCAAATTGCACGGACAACTCTGATCCGCAAGTCGAATTTGAATTTCCTTGCTATGTACTTTTGTGTATTAAAATACTGTTAACATTGTTTCTAGATTAGCGGAAAATTGGTTAAAAAGGGTAACGAGGTTATGTACATCTGTACAGTCTGGAATGCGACTACGAGCCAAGTCGGTCTAGCCAAATTTCAAAAGAGTAACCTTTTCGTAAGGGAAGATTGGAAGATTGCTGGACACAGGGCAGATCCCAATCGGATCATAGCTGCTTCATATTGATACCATACTCAACTCAAGACTCCGGCCAACCCAATTCAAGCCCAATCATTCATTGGCATCATATGTGCTGGCGCCCACTCAGCAAAAAGCGACGGAGAAGAGGCGAAAACTTTTGCCCCAAGTGATTACTCAATTTAAATGGCAACAGCTTTCCCCAGTCTCGAGGCTTTTGTATGCTAAAACAAAAAACAAACCCCGAGCAAATCGAATCCACAACAATAAGATGCTAATGCATGTGCTCCCAAATGACAAGAGGCAAATGGCTGCGGTCTCGAGTGTCGTGGTTGGGGTACGTTTCTCTGATTGGGGTGTGCGTGTGGGTTTAGTGTTAATATTTTTATTTACACCCTTATAATGTAGCCCACACACACGGCCCACACCTCAACCTAACGCCTGCTAATCTAATGCACACAATCGAAATTTGCCTAAAAAAAGACCGACCATGCCACACCTCGCTGTGTGCTGGGCGGGGGAAGGACGTCGGTCACTTGGTCGGCCTGTCGCAGATAAAAGCATATTATGGACAAACTTTTTCTCTCGGCCACACATAGGTCTATTACATAGATCATTTATTACACGACCAGCGGCAGAGACTTCTCTTCGGGTGTTGACGACAACGTGTGTTTCTAATGTGATTTTTTATTTGCCCGCACGCCGGACAAGCATCCCGTAATGTGTCCTTTTTTACCCTCCGCGGCGCCTTCTGCATTTTTTTAGCGTTCGCCTTCGCTTATCGCAACAGTTTCATCAGCCACAAACCCACTGTACGATTGCTCAATTTTCGAGACACTTGGCTTTCGAGTAGGTGGCACGAAATGTGGCAAAAGTTAAAGAGCATCTACTAGAATTCATATTCAATATGTGGGATGGATTGCAATGCCGTTTATAAGCAACCCTTAAAAACAATTGGGTTAAGAGTTTTAGGTTAGAATTGCAAGAAAGAAATCAATAGAATTGTGTAAAAACTCTTGAAACTAAAAGTGAAATGAATTGTTGTCTAAATTGTAGCGAACCTAGCATTATTATTATTTCAAAAAGTTATTCATTCAACATAACCTATTTTCACTATAACATTTTCTAAATTAACTTTAAGAAATCTTTATTAAAATCGAATTAAATACAATTTTAGGTAATTCAGTGGTCTCCAAATTTTACTTGCCTTCAGCTAAATCTTTGGTCTTGATCTAGCCTTATTATACTTGTTTTTCAATTTAACCTCACTTTAAGAAAAACTATGAAAAATCGTTTTTTTCAAAAACGTTTATACCTTCAACATAACCTCACTTTTAAATTTTTGAAGAGCTTCTGGCTACTTGTAATCAACTTTCCCCAGAGTTTTGTGCCAGATGCTAACAACTTTGGTTTTTAGTTGCCACAAACACAACTGTACTGGGGTACCGCTGCGACACCCAACAGTCGAATTCTAATCAAACTGTCAACTGGCAGCAAAAGTCGTAACCCAGAGTCCGCCTCTCGTTAGTCCCGGAACATGTGAGTACGGGTAGTATCTCAATTTGGACTGTTTTCTCAGCCTCGCTGTTGTTTGGGATTGTTTTTTTTTTCCCGCTTCTTCTTCATTTTTCTTTGGCAACTTAATTTACTGCTGGGAGCATATGCTAAAAAACGAATGGCCATGACTTCTTCTTTTTTTTGGGTTCGTTTGCTTATCAAAAGTCAAGTAAATATCTGCAGCTAAGAGATACAAAGATACAGATTGGCCCCAAACACACACTCGCAGACACTCACACTCACACACACACACTCGTTGATGATGTCGTTGTGTGTGATGCTCCCGTGAGATAGTTTGATTAATGGCCAAAAAGTGCCCAGCATTTTGGTCTTTGGTTTTGTATTTTGTAATGTGCCCCGCATTAGGACCAAGAAAGCAGTTAGAAAAACCGTTAATACACATGTGACTCGATTGTGTATATGTGTGTGTGTGTGTGTGTGTGTGCGTATTTGTGGACACTATTAAACGTACACCCCAAATATAAACAAGAAATTTGGCTCTGGCCTCGTGTTTTTGATGCCCTTTAAGAGGGTATCTGAACTCTGTCATAAAAGAAGAATTATTTATTCAACATAACCCTTAAACTATTATTCATTCGGCATAACCTATCTTCACATTTTCAAAATAAACTTTAAAAAATTTGTATCTAAATAAAGTGAATTACTAGCCAATTGCACGCATGTGTTATTTATCTTAGATAGAATCGGATCCAATAGCATTAAACTTGCCTTTTTCTTAACCTAACCTCACTTTGAAGGAAGTCAATTCTGAGCCCATAGAGCATATATATTCTTAATCAGCATATATATCTAACTCCTATACCTCATTCATTTTCAATGAAAACTAATCTTATAGCTCCAAAGTTAAGACAGGCTGGCAGTACGTATACGGGAGGTTGGCAGTTCAAATCTCGACCCCCTTTTATTATTATAGAAGACTTCTTTTATTATTACAGAAAAAGTCGCTCGCAGATAATGCTATTGTAGATCTACAAGAGTATCAAATGTTCGCCATGCATTTCCTCTAGTTTTTTTTTAGTTTTTTCTGGGACGGCCAAGTGGGCCGGGCATAAAAAGTTGCCTGTTTATAACGCGAAATCATCAAGTTAACGTATCGCTTGATTTATGGCATGTTACGCTCACAAATGTATTGGTTCCGTTCAAATCCAACTAGGCAAGGGGGGCGGTTGGGGGCGGCGTTGGCGCTGACAGTTTGCGTTTGTCACGCGAAGGCATTTAACGGGTCGTCTCAGTCGTTGTCGGCGTCGTTTTATTAATCAAAATTTCATATCGGCCGCCAGGTGGCGTGTTTGATGCGGCATTCTATTTAAATTGCTTGCAACGCCATGTTTTTGATTGCCACTCCGTCCGTCCATCCGTCCGGCTGTCTGTCTGGCAGCCATTTGACAGGCGGAAAGGGTTCGCTATTGACTTATGACTGTACGATTTGGGCAAACCCCACGGCACAAATGGAGGCAAACCGAAATGAAGGCCAAAAATTGTGGCACGACATGCAACCCAATGAAGTTTTCGAGGCATGAGAATATTCCCTTTTGTAGAAATACTTTACAGGGCTGCCAATACAATAAAAATATAATATAAAATTGTGTTTGTTTCAGTTGAAGGATTTGAGCCATTGTTTTCTTCTTTCATGATTCAAAGCAAGGCTCAAAAAGCGTTAATAAAATACGTGTAAATAAAATGTTGTTAATATGAAAGTCCAAAAAAAAATTTTGAAGTTTTCGGGGAAACTTGTTTCTTTTTAAAGAAACACTTTTCTTGTTCAGTTCAAAGAGTTGAACCGTTGTTTTCTATTTTCATGATGCAAATTTTATCTTTGATTTTTGGCAATATTCAGTGGAACAGTATTTTCATATTCATAAGAAAAACATATATTCGATCGATTCACCCCTTTGAGCTATGGAGGTTGCCTTTTCCGTGCTTCAACAGGAGAGATTCCAACCGGCTTGCATCAATATGATTGCTGTAATAGCAGGCCTATAATTTCCAATTAGTAACTGCCCAGTGAACATCCTCTCAGCCCCTATACCCAGCCAGATCTCATCACTCGCTAAGGCCATTATACACACCCACACTCAGAGCTAACCCTTTAATTGCCTGGCTGTGGAAATGCGAAACCGGTGAACCCTACTCATATGTTCTATCCAAACAACAGATCACATGCTATGAAACAATAAGAAAGATAGTTGTTCATTTTTTTGTTTGTCGAAATTTAACCCTTGTCCGTGGGCAAATTGTGGACTTCCGTTGGGTTCGCTGGACAAAACAAACACATAATATTCCTATTAAATTCAAATTACAAGCACGAACAGTTGGCGCCCCCACGCTTAAGGGTTAGACTGACTCCAGACCACTTGAACTGCCCTCCAACCCTGGCGTGAACCGTGAGAGACCAGCATATGAGCGGCCAGTGTGTGTGCCATATTTTTGATTGTTTTCAAAGCAATTAAGGTGTAGAAATTTGTCTAATCGGGTGTGGGATATGGGCAAGGGTTCTACTCTCTAGCCGCCTTCTAATGGCTTTGTTGACGCGCTGTCATTAAAGTTAAGGGTTCGGGCTGGTAACAACAGCTGTGTATTAGATTATATGTTGATTGAACTGAATTAATGCTGATTTGGAAAAAAGCCCAACTCAACTTTAAGTTCAAGCGGAAATATCTCATACTTCCGACATTCACACAGAAAGAAACTGGAAACTATGCCGTACATCTTCCCCATATAACGACCGACCCTCATCTGCATGCGTTGCGCATAAATTTTAACCCAAAAATACGTCCGACAGCTGCCTCCAACTCCTCCTTCTGCTCCGCCCCAGACCCCGTCACAGTTCCACTCCCAGCTGAAAGTTCGACAGCTTCCGTTTTGGTTTGGCTTCATTTTTGTTTTTATTTTGTTCTTTACTCTGCGCTCATTGGCGCTGGAATTGTGTGCTTTACCCCATTTTAATATTATACGAATCTCTATACGAAAGAGTTTCTTATCGTAATGCGTGGCCTATAAAAAGTATTAGGCAACTGCCTCGTTTATGTGGGCGTGCATGTCGAGAAAATGGCTGTCATAATTTTTGTACACTGCCAGAAATTGAGGTGGAATAAACTGGAAAATCGAAGAAGTTCTAGAGAAACCATGTTGTGCTTATAGGTGAATGGGCTTATGAGCTCGAGAAACCTTACACGGAAAGAAATTGAGGAGATATAAATTTTGAATGTGAAGAAGTTGACGAAAATTTCATGGGCCTAGAACTCGAGAAACTATGCACGAAAAGAAATGGAAGACAACTTTCAAAATCAAGAAGTTTTTGAAATTCGTAAGTTATTTTTTAAGTTTTTTAAGCTTCTCCACTTTTTGTCAGTCATCATTTCTTTGAAGCTAGTTTGTGAAAATATACACTAAAAGAAATTTATAGACCAGAAGCTCAAGTTGACTCTCCACTATATTTATAGATTACTTTTAATACTGGGCATTTATTTTCCAGAAAATACTTCATACTTATAGATACGTATACATGCATATATATGGGCTGCAATAGCTTGAGATATTTTCTAGAAATCGCATGGCACAAAAGAAGCTCCTAGTTTTGATTTGTGTGTAAACAGCCACAACATGAGACACCCTCTGCCTGATGTGGCCCCAAAATAACTCAGTCAAGTCATCTCGATATTAAAAAAC